GAAAATTATTTGTCCAGAAAGTCAAGAAACGAAAACTTATTCTGTAAATATTTTTGTTTTAATTTATTTAACTTCTTACTTACATAGGCATGCGACCGACGTCCTCTTTTGTTACATGCACTTACACGATGGTCTTTGCGGCATTTGCCTGCCGCCTGTTCATCTGAGCATGCTTTTGGTTTCTAAGACAAAATGTCATACATATCCATAAAGTATATGTGTAAGTCAAAGATAAATACTATAGGTTAAAAGTAATCAGACTCGAAGAAATAAAAAAATATAATATATTATAATTGGAATAGTTAATACATGCCGAGTGTTTTAAACGGACTCATTTTGCAACAATTTTTTGGAACTGTTAATTATCGCTTTTGGATATATCATATAAATATGACAATTTGAAACGGGGTAGCCAACACTATAGAGCCTGACCAGACATCCACATGTACAGGCTGGTCTGGCTGTATACTAGTGGCCAAGGCTTATCACTTTCTCTTAGAACAGGGTACAAGGGCTGTTAAATATAAATGCAACTAGGCCAATATCTCGCTTTTAACCATGTTTTGCATGTATCGCAAAGATGGTTGTGTAAGTTCTCCATTGATACAAAATATGTGTTAATCAGTTCATTCCATCTTTGACAATAGCTCGATTAATGCTTTTAACTCGTGTATACTAAAGCTAAAATGGTTGGCAAAGGTCTCTTTACACTGACCAAATACGGTCCTGTATCAAGAACCGCTGTAATCTTGGTATACAGGCGAAATGCATATTGAATAAAATATGTCGGGTTTATGGGAACAATTAACTTTTTTCTTCATCTGCCACACGGTGGTGTTAGAGATTTAAAAGTGGTTTTGATTCAGTAAAAAATGCACCTCATGCACGCCGTCCGAAAATTGCAACTTCGCAAAGAAATGGTTGGAAAAGGAAAGGATTTTATTGCTATTGATACAAGATTCACAACAAGGTATATAGTTAAATGCGTTGGTATCTCTACATGAGCCGCTCATACAATCCTCAGAGGTGATTTAAAATGAAGAGGGTAAGTGCCAGACAGAAACCCCATCTCGTTACAAAAGAGCAAAAACTTGCTCCAGTAAGAATCTCCAAACAATTGTTGAAACAGTTCCTTAAATACAAAAATCGATCTTCGAAATATCATCACTGGCGATGAGACGTAGGTTCAGGTAAATAAACACAAACGAAAGATACATAACAAAATATGGGCAACCAAAGGAAGTCAAAGACGTTTGCATGTATCAACGAGCAGTGATCATCAGAAACCCCATCGATTATGTGCATGTATAAAGATCTATCACGCTGCCCGATCGTTAGAACTTTACAGGGGTGTTCAAATATGAAGGCAACTGGGTCAATTTTCAGAAGTGCTTAACAGTGCCAAAATAATCATCTCAATCCTTCAAAATACTCAACACCATGTGATATACAAAGTTTTAGTCTCTTTTGATCCAATTTTTAAATGCATTTTCATAATTTTTTTGAGGTATACTGTTCAGACACTTGAAAAATAGCCGAACCGTGATTTTTAGCGTTTGATATTATCTTCCAGCAAGGTGTTTTCTTGAGCGTCAGAAATAGGAAAACGTCACAAGGGGCAAGATCTGGCGAATAAAGATTGTGAGGAAGTTCGAAATCGACAACCTTTTCCTGTTTCAGATATTCTCGTACAATGACCATAAACACGATAATGTATTATTACACTAAAACATTTAGGCTGTTGTGTTCGTATTATCGTCATACAGATAATTTTAAAGCATATTTTGCTTGATTGCATCTCATGTTAAGTTATGGTGAAACAATAAAATAACAAGGAAAAAACTTGTTAGACCTATCTTCACAACAATAGAGACACCTGGCTATGTTTAGTTTTTCTGATACATAGTAGTAAATTATTTTTGAATCATTCAAACCAGTGCACACACTCAAAATAAGACAAGGTACGCCCCACTCAGGTCCTGCATTGTGTTGCAAAAGCAGGGAAAGGTCACATCATACATTAACACAATGAAGAAGGGTCTGAAATGTTCATTTAATTATTTATATTCATGCTCTCGATTGACAATCATTATTCAGAATTTACGTTTCCCTACTAAAGTGTAAAAATACATACACGTGAATGTTGTGGCACATGAGGTGGTTGGCTACGACGTCCAAGTTCGTTCAACACCGCTCCAGCAAACTGACCGGCCGTACCTGATAGCATATCCAAGCCTGACTGATAATCTGAGTTCATATCCTAAACAAACAGATTTGTACTTGATAAACAATAAAATTAAACTTCCTTTCGTGAATCGTTTCATAATTATCTAGAATTAATAAGAAAAGCCGAAAAGCAATTCAAATGAGTGAATGACGTATTTGGTGTCTTGTCACAGTTTCAAAAAAATACTTATTTGCTACCCACAGATAATGTCTTTTGCTTAATTTGCTTGGTTGGAAAATGCTATATTTAGTAAACTAGTATTTTTTATGGAAGTCAAAATACATGTACTATTTTGTTTACATTTTGCTACCTTTACAACACATCACTGCATGTTCAGTGCTACTTTCTTCAGTTGTTGAATATCTATCATGCTCTAAATCCATTATAAAGACACTTTCAAACAATCGTTGGACAATAAGAAAGAATTTTTAAAAACATACGGATTTCTAAGGCATAATGTGCCTTGAAGTTTTCTGGCTTTGCATTTAAACTCGCACCAGACCTGATGAACTTCTTTCTCTAACCGACATAGCACAACATTACAATAACATGTCTACGAATGTGATACCAGGGGAGTAGTCGAATAAATTGCCCATTTATACATCAAGATCGCCGACATATTAAAACTGTACAACAAATATTGAAATTAGTAAAATCTTACATTTCTCCGTTGGTCTCTACCGAACATCGTTTATGCCGAAAAAATACGATAACATTAGAAAAATGAAAAACGGCGAATGATCTTTGACCTTTGTTGACAATATAACAATATTTACTATATTAATTATAAATAATGAATTTTCACCATCTTCAAAATATTTCAAGGAAACAAAAGTCTGTATCATTTGATATTCTCTTCCGCGATAAAAAAAAATTCAAATCATTTTGTTCTGGTTTCAACCACTTAACTTAACATAACTTAATATCTTCAATTATATTTGTATCAACTGATGAGATTAACTTTAAATGAGGATGGGGTGGTTTTGTGACTAATTGTCTCATTCATCGGTTGATAGTTGACTTCCTTCAATCCAAATATACAACTAAAAGTATGTTAAAAATATAAAATACATTGAAATATTTTCCTGTATTTGTATCAATTACTGGGTCCATCTTATTAAAACATATCTAACACTTGTAGTTAAAGAGTCATTTTGGCAAGTTGTATGACTAAGCTTATATAACGAAAGTGGCAATGCGAGTATGTTGTATTATCAGCAATTATTGATACATGGTCATATAACCTATCAATAGAAATCTTTATAAATAACACAGTACTGCAAAATCATTATTGTTCGAGGGTCACTAATTTTCGAGTTTTGTAGTTGTTGTTTTTTTGTTAATATATCAATCCACGAATGTAAGATCCAACGGAAATTTATTTCATTTTCTAACTACTACTGATACAAGGTATTACATTTTACTTTGCACAAAAAGACAATCCACGAATTAACGATTCCTGGAAAATGTCTATTTTTAAATTAAAAATAACAACAACAAAAACAACATTTATGTCATGAACGCGAAAGTAGAGGAACTGAATTGAGTTCAAAAAGCATAAAAACATGAGCAATTTTGAGTCATTATTCACAATTATAATAATTATTCTGGAAAAGAACGGAGAAAATATATAATCTGAAAATTTGCAGATAGCTATAGGTTATTGGTCTAGACAAACAATTTCGACAAGTTGCTTAAGAAAGAATCTCCAAACAATTGTTCAAACAGTACCCTAAATATAACAATCGATCTTTCGCAAATATCATCACTTGAGATGAGACTGAGCCTACTCGAAAGATACATAACAAAATATGGGCAACCAAAGAAAGTCAAAGACCATGCATAACAAAACGCACCATGAGCACCAAAATGGTCATGTATGTAATTTTCTTTGCTATTCAAATTGGCGTACCAAAGGGTAAATCTGTAAATGCCAAGTTTTACAAAGGCAAGGTCTTTCATAGATTAAAGAAATATTTTAAAAACCGTCGACAATGCTTCGTCACAAAAAGCGGCCATTTACGAGTCAGGAAACAGGAAAAAGGTTGTCGACCTTCCTCACACTCCTTCGCGAGATGTTGCCCTCGTGACTTTTTCCTATTTCCGACGTTCAAAAAACACCTGGTTGGAAGAAAATATCAAATTGGAAAAAATGTCGGTTCGGCTATCTTCCAGTACCTGAACAGTATACCTCGAAATGATTTTAAAAATGCATTTAAAATTGGATTGAAAGACTAAAACTATGTTTATCACATAAACTGCGGCGCAGGAGTGTAATAAAGTCATTTAATAAAAACGATATTACACTAGTGTAATAACACTTTGACGTCATTTGCGCTATATAGAAACATAGCGTTATTGTTTTTGGGTTTTACGTCACATCGACACAGTCTATGTCATAATTATGGCGATGTTCCTGCTTCACAGGTGGAGGAAGATCTCAGGTGCCCTTCCGTGCATTATTTCAGGCACGAACCGGCACCTGAGTAGAACCACCGACGTTCCGTAATCTAGCTGGATAGCTTCCTCACATGAAAGAATCCAAAGTCCCTGTCGGGATCCGAACCCACAAACATAACGTTAAAGAGCGCTTATGAAAGCGTTACACTAAAGGCGCGTTATTAAAAAAATACTCATTTTAACAGTTCTTATTTTATATATGTGATAAATAGAATATTATATTTGTGTAGAGTCAATACTTAATTAATTGAACGAGTTGAACGAGTTAAATAAAACAATATTATGCTCGCCAGAGGCTTGCATAATATGATTTTATTCAACTCGTTCAATAAATTTAGTATTTAACAACACTCATTTAATATCCTCTATATTTATCATGGTGGTGAGTATTTTGAAGAATTGAGATAATTATTTTGGCATTGTCTGTTAAGCACTTCTAAATTTTGACCCAGTTGCAATCATATTTGAACACCCCCGTAAAGTATGAACGATCAGGCAGCGTGATAGATCTTTATACATACACAAACTCGATGGGATTTCTGATATCCACTGCCCGTTGATTCATGCGAACCTCTTGTTGGAGTCTGAAAATATAATTGTTGTATATCATGGAATTACAAATGCACATTTATCTTTGTTATGTCTCCATGTGTGTTTAAATGGAAATATGCGAGTATTCGGGGGGTGAAATATATATTTCGGCTCTTATGATTAAATTTAAATAATTATTGACACCCCACTATGGGATTACGATTTGGCAATGCTTATAAATATTTGGAAAGTTTTTAGAAGAAAAAAAAAACTGACGTCAGATATTGGCAGAACCGTATAAGTGTACAACAGAAAATGAAGCTTTGGTGACATGCGATAACTAAATAAAAAAACACCAGCAAGTGATTATTCAATATAAAAATATAAAAATCTGGTTATTGTCTATTTTTAGTCTTTATTCATAACAAATAATGTTTAGATTTTGAACAGTGGTGTCTGTAAAGTGCAGAGTATACAGTCCTTGCATGGTTAATATTTTATCATTTGCATCATCTTTAATTTGGTATTATATGTTTGATGTTATTTGTATAAATAATTAAATGTTCTGTTGGGATTAATGTACAATTGCTAATCTATTGTAAATAATGTACTCAAAGCTATCACGATACGAATACCTTAAATACAATGATTTATTGTATTTGGTTTTGAACATTTAGTTAAGTTCAGGGGTAATAGTTTTATCTAGGATCAATAGTGAAACAATATATTGCATCTTACGAACCCTAGCTAAAGATACTTCAGCGAACAGGTTTTATAGAATTGCTAGACCTGTTCGCTGAAGCCAACCCCGTATCGAAAGTCATCCAGACCCGTGACATTTTTATGTCATGCTGTAATTCAATAAATTTTCGTGATCTGGACAAAAACTATCTTAATACAGGTAGTTAGATATATTTGGGACCCTTCAGTCTATATTTTTGAACGCAGAATGTTAGATTAATGAAATATTGCCTCAAAGTTTATCAGCGGGTTCACATTTCATAAAATTCTCCGCCATTGCTGCCCTAATTATCACGTGACCAGCGAGAATTTAGGTTCGGATACCTTTGCATGACATTTGGTGATACGTGGCCTTAATGCTATTTTTAATTGAAAACATGGCTTTGCAATTATGAATAACGGTGTATTTATTCAATAAAAGACATTGTACCAAAAACATGGTTGGATTTATATTGTTTTGAGTGATGATTCATGAATTATTTGTTTGTTTTTATATAAAATCATACACTTACTAAAAATAGTGTATGGTCCGTTACTAAAAATAGATGTTAGAATTTGAAAAACATGAAGTCCCGCGAGATCTTATTTGAAAGCAGACTCCATATTGGTAAACATTCTCTACATATTTCTCTAAAAATAGTAGGGTACACAATGTCATTGAAGTTTCATTTAAAAACAAAACATGAATTAGTTCAAAATTGACTTGTTTATCAAATGGTATTTTTATTTGACCCAAATTTGATTAATAAGGGTGATTTTAATAGGTTTTAATGTACGGCGCACGAACTGTCAAATTCTGGTTGCCTTTGCAAATAGGAATGACCCATAACTTTACTGTCGCAACGTCAAAATAAAAGCGACATATAAAGTTTTGGAAGCCAGAACTATACGAACCCATGCAATATGCATGACATTGATAGTGATCACTTGTAACAATCATGATCAACTAATGAATGGGAAAATGGAGCAGTTCTCTCTTAGCTGCAATCCAAGACTACTTCTGTGATTTTTACTACACAGTTCTTACTGACAGTTAAGCCCAATTTATTTAAAGTCAAATAAAAGGCAGCAATGTTTGGATCTAGACAGTCCCCTTGCTGTTCAAAGTTTATTGAGAAGCTAACAGATATTGGAGACATCTACTTTAAGATACACACTTCCCGATTAATTGGCGTCCGCCTCGAAGCGCGACGTCCCTTATGGAATGAAATCAGATTTTGTGAAAGAGCTACTTTTCGGATCTTTTCGTCGGTCATAAAAGCCGATCTTTCCGATTGGTATGAGGGCATTTGATTATCAAAAATGAAATGTCGCGAACAATGATAGCAACTGGAGAATTTCGCAATGCAAACATATTCAAATGAAATAATCTTTTCCGTCCATAAGTTGCGCTCTTCGGGTTTTTTTATTTATCATTCTGTAGTGGGTTATAATCGTTTGTTATTGTTGTACATGTATCCGAAAGCTGTAAATATAATGATGACCTTAAAGTCCGAAAATCTATTTATAGAGGGATGTACTATTCGCTGGTCTCCTTTCGGTAATTCCTGGTCTCTCCCGGTCTATTTTGACCGGGATTTACTAGAGACCGGACAATAGTATCACACGTTTATTGTCCGGTCTCTCCCGGTTTTGGAGTAGATGTTTGATATCGTTACAGACAAATAAGTTTGTTTCCAAAATGAATGTTTGTCACTTAGTTTGGTTACAATAATTAATAAACACAGATCAACTCTCAAAATTGATTATTATTATAATACATAAACATACAATTAAAGAAAAACAACAACAATCATTGAATAAAAAGGTATATTTTTATGGTATAAATATGACACCATCAACTTTGAAACATTTTATTTAATTTTATATTCGTGTAAAGTAAAGATGCTCAGGAATCATTCTAAGTTACAAATTAGATTTTATGAATTATTCAATTGATTGATAATCTTAAAAAAATGATAACGAAAAATACAAATGTACATGGCTTAAGAATAAACAATATAATATATTGAAAGATATTAGCCATAATTTACTGGCTTTTTACAGTTAATTTTTATCTTATAATCGTCGGTCAATATGACAATTTAATTCTTAAAATTTATTTTACAATTTTAATTTAAAAAAAAGTAGTACACGTAAAAACTCAGTATTAAAATAGCACATAAAACACAAAAAAAAAAGAAAGAAAAAGAAAACAATATTCATAAGATATGTAAAGAAAATTTCAAAATAGATATTACAATTATTGTATAATAAAACAGTAATCCTCAACATGATCAACATGGTAATATAACCAGTGTCATATTATTACTATGTGTGAACAGATACCGTAAGAGGGGGTCTTCGCTAATAGCGATAACATAATAAGGGACAATACACCAGTGTGGTGTTGATCATGCCTTACACCAGGGTCTTATACTCCACGTAATAACTCTTACCACGGAAAATTTTGTTTCCAGTTTATCATTTGCCTGGCAAACGATATATCACATAGTGTTTTGTTGCTCGTTCCTTAACAGTACGATAAACTGCTACGTTTACGGTTTTTTGACACAATGTTTCGAGATGAGCTAAGGAAAATATATTCTTTAAAATGTTTTAAAAAGGGCAGAGCACGTGATCCAGCTAAAGGAAAAAAAGGAGCAAATATCTCTTTATAAACTTAATATGTAACGTTTGGCGTTTCTGAACTCAGCTGTATAAATTTACTGTAAGTAATAATTGATATTAAATTATTGAAATGAAGTGTTCCCCTAACTAAGTGTTCCCTTGGGTTGATATCTGATTACTAATCCGCGCAATCACGGTATGCCAAGTTATCACGATATCACTTTTATATATACCTACATGGTACAAATATTAAAATATTTTTTATTCAGGTACACAGTCACTTAAAACTTGGTTTAACAATAGTTTGATTATTTAAGCAGTATTTTAATCATGCTTTTGAAATTATAAACTACAAGAAGAAGAGGGGACTATGTTAGAAACGCACGTAATGGCAAAACCCACATTGGCCGAAAGACAGATAATTTGAAAGCATCAAATATACCTTTTGGGTTTGTTTACGATGACTCATTTGTTTTATACGTCCATGTATTTGTAGTGTTTTTTTTACCGTATAACAAAATGAAATTGACGTTTTACGTAATTTGTATTACGTATTTATGTTAAACTGAAGTGACTAGTTTAGAGTCATGTCTATGTCCTCGCTAGGGGTTTGACATTAATGGAAGATAAATAGATAGATAAGAGAGTAGGTATAGGTATAGATAGATTAACGAACATTCAAAAATAGATGACACTTTCACTTTCGCATTATTTAATTTGGTTTTTTATCGGACATTATTAATGTACAATCACATATATGGCACAATTATTTAAGTCGTCAAAACGTTAAACTTGAAACTGGATATCAATTTTAGGTCACTTAAATGTTGGAATAAATCTTGGCATTTTTTTATATGTTCCCTAAATAGTTTCTATTTTCAAGTGTTTTTAAACTGTGTATGTCACTATAAAATTGCATCAATTTCCACAGATATCAACTAATGTAATTGCACGCATACAAATCAAATTATTTATACCCGAATACAATTCAAATGAAAAATTCAGAGAAATAAATAGAGTCTTCATCACGTGGAATAAGTGTTTCTATATGGTCTTTGCCATGCAACTATCATTCTTTGATTTGCACGGTGGAGATCATGACGTCACCATCAATACGGAGTGTATCAATACAGCTGAAGGTCTTGATCCTGTGATTAAATTCCACAAAATGCTGATCATCAACTGCGACCTGAAAATGTAGCCATTTCAATGAATATTCGTTTCCATTATTTATCACGTCTTATGTAACACTTGATTTAACATTGTAGCTGAATTTACCTTTTTTATAAAAAGATTTATTCATAATGAGGAAGTTATCCGTTTCTTTTTATTTAGTTAAGATTATACAAATTAAGCAAGACTCGGGTAGGAAACTTGTTCCTGGGTTTGAACTCCCCCGGGGCCACTGCTCTCTATAAATCATTATATTTATTTGTATGGGTTAAAGTAGTTCGCTTAGGAGCGCTTTATGTTTGTCGAGTATGAGATCAACAACAAAAATAACAACAACAGCATCGTACATATGGGGCAATGTTTGGGTATTAATCGTTCCTTTGAGCTTTGATATAGAATCAAAATTAAAAACATGTAGTGTACATGGTATGTATATACCGGTATGTGAATCTCTAATACAAGAAGACATCGGCATTGCCAGAAATTAATTGACATTGATTACCTTGAAACAATCACGGTCAACCAAGATAATGATCTGAAATTCTTTTTCTCGTTGGAATGGAAAACACGGAGCAGATCTTTCCTCCTGTCTGCTATCCCATGCTCCTTCCTTGTGATTTCTTACTACGCAGTTTGTACTGACAGGTGTACCCCACTTAAATCTAACATCAAATACCATGGCAACAAATTTTGGATCGCGACTCTCTCCTTGTTGAAGATATATCGAGAAGCTGAAAAAGTTTAAGTGAAATTATTTCATAGTTTATCTATGCTATATTTAGGCATTTAAAAGGGTATAAGATATAAAATAATGGCAAATTAATCTGACAAGGAAAAGGACATTTCAAGTAAAATAATTTTGGTAATTGTGTAAGTTGAAACATTCGAGTGTTCCATGGTATTCTTCTTTTTCACTCGACCACCTTTTATCGGTAGAATGAACATTTACTAGCTTGGTGTATGCTGTCTACTTGTTTCCAGCAGCGACTGGCCTGTGTATGTGCAAAGAGAGTTCCGTTTCAGTAAATTTCGCAAAGAGAGTACCGATATGGATATGCACCGTGCTCACTGTTCACTGTTTTAATTCTCATTACCAGGAGTTTAAAATACATGAGTTAAAATCATAATTAGTTTAAAACTTCTACTTATATGGATTTAAAAACTCCTAATTTAGAGTTTCTAAGTGGAATTTATTTTTTTTTTCATTGAACAAATTTAACATTCTATATTGAAAATAACTTATTATCAGGAGTTTGTAAATTCCTTAATAAGATCAAATTTAAGAATTACTTCTCTCTTTTATAGACTATAACTTATATAGAGTTCCCCTATAGTTTTCTCGTTTAGGGCACACGCTGTCTTTTACTTAGGGACCATTCGTCGCTTGTCACGGAATAGCATAAAAGTGTCGCATAGAAGTTTTCATAATGAACGCAGCATGAACACATCTGCGGATGTTACAAAACTTCACCATGTGTCATGTTTAAATGTTGAATTCTACTTAAGCCGGTACTTGGGGGAGTGGACGGTAATTGGCAGTACCGTCTATGAACAAGGCTGAATCAAGCCTGCCTGCAACGATTTCAATTTTGTTGTGTTGGGTGTTCTTACGGAATCCGTTTTCTCTATTTGTTAAGAAGCACTTAAATCATAATTAGGAATTTGTATAATCCAGCAAGGACTTCATAATCCGCATGTAATAACTTATTCCCAAATAAAATTGTAAAATTCAGTTTAATATGCTTTATTTTTTATTGGACAGTGTGTCTTTAGCAGATGCCAACAAAAATTATAAACTTTTTGTAGTTATCAATACATGTTAGATCACCACAGCTAAATGGCATCCATGATGCCGGTAATACGGTGTGGAAGCATCATTCATCTATAATTCCAAAAATAAACATCAGATCTATAAATAAGTAAGGTATTTACCTTTTGGCGTTAGAGTTTGGGATCCCACACACCAAAATGATCTTGCCCTCATGGAGACCATGGATGTTTTTAATGTAAGGAGCTTGTGACTGAAAAAAGAAAACACATTACATGTCAAAACAAATGATCAGATAATACAGAATGAGGCTTTTGATAATATATCACAAGTCATTTATCGCCTTTTTGTCAAGCAAGCACGTCCCATCTCACTAAGAAACTTGAAGACAAAGAATAGCAAATAAAATACAGCTGCAGAATATTTAGTATTTGTATGATTCGAGGAATTACTGATTATTGAATATAAACCATATTTCTAAACAATATAGAATAAATGTACGTCTTTGTAGTATAACAATTATAGATGATATAATTGCAATTTAATCAACGTGTTTTCATACTTGAACGTGATTTATAAAATCATTTTACTATTTGGAGAATAAGGATTGTAAATAGTTAATAATGTTTTATAATTGAACGTGTTTTGTATATTTCATGAATAATTGAAAATATCTTTCAAATATTTGTCACATGTACAAATTCATATAGATTCTACTGAACTATTACATACAGGAAATGTTGGTACAGGGATATATGACCTTGTAGTCAAGGTGTCTGTCGGTCAATCCAGTGTGTTTAAATCTTATTGTGGTCACGGTCATATTTCCTCATGCGGAACTAGTAGATTTTAACTTGATTTATTTTCGTTCGAATCTGAAGAAAACCATAAGCTTACAGACACACTTTTGACAAAATTATTTGCTCATGGAAACAACAATTTCGAACCAACGATCAATCAGTGAAGAGGCAGGCACCTTAACGACTTGGTCGCCTCTTCTTGATAAGACATTAGTGTAGATTATATCTGTGGAGTATGGTATGGTAGTGTATGGTTTGGTATGGTATGGTATGGTATGGTATGGTATGGTATGGTATGGTATGGTATGGTTCGGTTCGATATAGTACAGTATAGTACAGTAAAGTACAATATGTTATCCATTGTAGTATGGATACGATACGGTACGGAACGGTAAAGTACAGAATGGTATAGTATAATATGAAACGTTAAATATCACTTCATATTTATAAATACGAACTATTTTAATGACAACAATGTCTCGTTAAAGAACTCTTAAATAAGCAATCCTAAAATCCTATTTATACAACTTTCCTCGTGAATACCTGCAGGAATTCCTCTTCCCATTGGTCGATGAAAGGGAGACGAATCTTGTAGCTGTATATTGAAATTATATAATTATAGATATTTTATTACGAAATTATTTGACGATAATCGCAAACAGTTCTATTCTCTTTTTTGTCATATTTATATATTTACGCCACTTACTTGTCTGAATTCTTCGGGAGATGTTGGGCGAGAAAAATCATCCATTTCTTTCTGAAAAAGAAATAAAACACACTTTGCAAATTCAGTACCAAAAAGTTTTAATTGGCGACATTTTGATGATCTTCTCAAGGGTCAATTTTCATTAGACGTGATACAAATGTATTAACAGTACGATTGACCAATGACAATATTGATGATTAATTTAAGAGCATTATTGAGAGTATGCGATTATTTGCCATATAACCTGTATAAACGGATTTGTGACTAAATGACCGAAATTGCATAGCGGGAATTAAATGGCAAACAACTGTTTAATCTTGGTCATATAGCTCAAAAGTAATATAACGAGTTAATAACACTGCATTTCATTTTGAACGGATATCACTTTATAAAGTCGCCTTATTTGTACACGCAGCATTATTATAATGAGGGTCGTTACAAACGTACTAGTTTGTAAGCAAGTACACCGGACGAGACTGACTTTTGATGTCGTAAAACAATAAATTTATCATTCTTAGCATCATTACCAAAATAACAAATGAGTTTTTTTATCATCAGAGTCTGAGTATGTTTATGAAAATCATTATCATATACCGTAAATGGGGAATGTCCAAATCCGGACTTCTCGCCAATAGGCCGATCGGCTTGGATTATAACTTTGTCGACCTCACTTAGGAACGACCCTGCCAAATTTGTCACATTAGCAGCAATTTTGAAGCATCTCTCACGCCGTGACGCCTTTTCCTAAAAAGGCATTGTTTCAGTTAGACCAGAAACAAGGAGAACAAAAGCGACACTACGAAAACTCATGCCAAATATTTCAGGTCAAGACTTTATCGTTTAAGAGATTGACGATGATTTTTTTTTTTTTTAATTATTTTTTATCATATACCGTAACAGGAGAATGTCCAAATTCGGACTTCTCGCCAATAGGCCGATCGGCTTTGATTGCAACTTTGCTGACCTCACCGAGGAACGACCCTGCCAAATTTGTCACTCTAGCACCAATTTTGAAGCATCTCTCACGCCGTGACACTTTTTCCTAAAAAGGCATTGTTTCAGTTAGACCAGAAACAAGGAGAATAAAAGCGACACTACGAAAACTCATGCCAAATATTTCAGGTCAAGACTTTATCGTTTAAGAGATTGATGATGATTTTTTTATTTTTATTATATTTTTTATCATATACCGTAACAGGAGAATGTCCAAATCCGGACTTCTCGCAAACAGGCCGATCGGCTTGGATTGCAACTTTGCTGACCTCACCGAGGAACGACCCTGCCAAATTTGTCACTCTAGCACCAATTTTGAAGCATCTCTCACGTCGTGACGCCTCTTCCTAAAAAGTCATTGTTTCAGTAAGAGAACAACAACGACACTACGAAAATTCATGCCAAATATTCAGGTCAAGACTTTATCGTTTAAGAGATTGAAGATGATTTTTATGACATTTATTTTTACATTTAAGGTAAACCAGTGAACACCGTGGAACAGGGTCAATTTTGACCCCAGGGATATAATTTGAACAAACTTGATATTGGTCAATTTTACAATGTGTCATGCCAAATATCTAAGCTGCAGCCTTTGTGGTTTTAAAAGGAGGCGTTTTAAACAATTCATTATATACATATAAGAAGAAACCAACGACCTCATGACATCAACAACAACAAAAACAAGAACACGATATATGGTCTTACCTCTTTGTTGTTATTCAATCCGTACATTTTTAAGACAAAAGAATATCTTTTCTTGATCCGAAGAGTATCTTTTATGGTCTATGAGTTGTGACTATCACTGGGATTTTTTACCATAAATTTTCTTTTTAAGCAATTAGTTTTTCCCCATTTTATCATAGAATAAAAACCTACTTATTTTTGTTTCCTAATGGAAGAAAATTTTAAGACGAGAATCTGATTTCAAGATCTGGTATTTAAGTTTTCACTAATGGTGGAGAAGGAGTATTTAAGGCACGTGCATGATCAATTATAAAGTAATTATCAACAAAGTATTTCGCTACTTGTCTTGGAAAATTGTTCATTAAGTTTCTGAATTCATTTTCGATTTTCATTGAATTATTAGGCTCAATGTTTCAATGTTTTAATCACGTAAACAGTCATTTCGTTTATGGTCATAGGATGGGCAAACTAAAGGGAAATGTTTTTCTTCCTCAATTTCATGTAGATCACAAAAGTTAAGCACCCGAGGAAAAAAATCCACAACTGAAGTACGCAATTTTCTTGAGAAGTTCACTTCTGTGGGGGAGGGGGGAGATTTATCTTTTAAAAGAGATATACGTTCGAAATTAAGAAGCATTTCTCACACTGTTCAACAACGAATTTCCTACTGATATGTAATTGATATTTTTGAAAGAATTGTGTAATATCATAGATTAATAATAAAAAGTTTCTGCCTGTCATGTGGTCATGTGTAATTGCTTGTTTGCAATATAACTCTCTGCTAGCAATTGGTGTTATATAAAATAGATAAATACAGAATCCCTAAAGAAAGGCCAACACGGCAAAATTGAAAATGTTGCAGGCTCGGTTTGATTGAGCCTGTTCATGGACGGTACTGGAAAGTGCAAGTTACGCCCCCTAGCACCGGCTTAAGCAGAATTCAACATTTAAACATGAAATAGCGAAATTTTGAATTTAGAAACATCCGCAGATGTGTTCATACGGTGGTTATCATGGAACCTTCAACGTGACACTCCCATGCCATTCCATGAAAAGCGGCGTATGGTCCCCAAGTAATAAAAAGCGTGTGCCCTAAACGAGAAAACAATGGGCAGAACTAAATAAAATGGAATTTTGAAAGGGGATCAGATGTTATGAAGCTTGCGTATCACAGATAAGACGTCAAAAGACAAATTTAAAAAGCAGGCAACATATTCTAAGGGTAATTCAACATTATTCAAGTAGGAATTTTGGAACCACCCAACTAGCTGCGTGTACAATTGACCTTACTGGGCCATGTACAGTATATAACCTGTTTAAAGATTTTTGAAAAAAAAAACAACAATTATACTGAAACGCAGCTACAAATTTTTCTTTCTTTCTTTCTTTCTTTCTTTCTTTCTTTCTTTCTTTCTTTCTTTCTTTCTTCTTTCTTTCTTTCTTTTCCTGCATTAAAGTGAGTGTTATATAAATAGCCGAAATGGTAATAATGAGGAACCAAATTTGATTGAATATAGCGAGGTACCACGTGCAAACTAAAAGCAATACTTAAAGTAATATAAATCTCTATTAAAGTCAACTTATGATAATTAATATTTTTACTGGAAGTAGAAAATAAAAAGTGATTAAAACAAACTGTACATTTAATTTACATTTTTTTTATTTTCATTGTCAACATAGCCAATATATGTAATTCAGTTATATTTTCATATACTTCAGATACCCAAAAAACAGAACGTTTATTATATTTAACTAAATTTAAAATTTCATCATGCCATTAAATTTGAAATCAAACCAATAAAAAATTATTGCTTAATGGCAGTGTTCAGAAAAGTATTAGAATAATTGTAGTTTTTACAATAAGTGTGATTAAATTGTAGTCTTAAGAATGGTTGTGATCAAAATGGTAGTCTTCAGAATTGCTGTAATCAAAATGGTAGTCTTAAAAATAGTTGTTATCAAAACGGTAATCTTAAGAATTGTTGTAATCAAAATGGAAATCTTAAAAATGGACTATAGTTGTGATCAAAATAGTAGTCTAAAGAATATTGAATCAAAATAATAGTCTTAAGAATTGTTGTGGTCAAATGGTTGTCTTAAAAATAGTTGTGATCAAAATGGTAGTCTTGAGGATAGTTGTGATCAAAATGATAGTCTTAAAAATAGTTGTAATCAAAACGGCAGTTTTAAAAATAGTTTTAATCAAAACGGTAGTCTTAAGAATTGTTGTGATCAAAATGGTAGTCGTGAGAATAGTTGTGATCAAAATAGAAGTCTTAAGAACTGTTGTGATCAAAATGGTAGTCTTAAAAATAGTTGTGATCAAAATGGTAGTCTTGAGGATAGTTGTGATGAAAATGATAGTCTTAAGAATAATTGTGATCAAAATGGAAGTCTTAAGAATTGTTGTGATCAAAATGGTAGTCTTAAAAATAGTTGTGATAAAAATGGTAGTCATGAGGATAGTTGTGATGAAAATGATAGTCTTAAGAATAATTGTGATCAAAATGGAAGTCTTAAGAATTGTTGTGATCAAAATGGTAGTTTTACAAATAGTTGTGATCAAAATGGTAGTTTTACAAATAGTTGCGATCAAAATGGCTGTTTTACAAATAGTTGCGATCAAAATGGAAGGACTTTAGAAGTGTTGGTATTCTTGTAGAATTGTTGTGATCGTAAAGGGAGTCTTAAAATAGTTTTTTTTTTCAAAACTTATTGTTTGAAATAAAAAATGATCAAATCAAATATCTAAAATAAGAGTGTGCAAAAAGGTAGTCCAATTATATTGGTAGTGTTAGGAAAGTGAACGTGTAAACAGTGATCAAGATGGTAGTGAATAGAATAGAAGTGGACAAATTTAAAATAGTAGAAGTAAGTTTGTGTGAGCCATTATATTATAATGGTTACTTAAAAAAGAATTAAAATAAATGCAGTGATTGTAATGATACTGAAAGTATAATGATTATAATTCTCGTTATCACTACCGTTTCGAAATTAATTAGTCACGATTTTTTCTTCCAATCATTTCAACAAGCAAAAATAAATAATAATTTAATAACATTTATTAAGATGCAAGAGGCGTTTTTATCTCCATTTCAAGTCTGTATCCTAACCTGGGTAAGTGTGACGTCACCATCAATGCGAAGGGTATCGACACGGTCGAGTTGCCGGATCCTGTGATTGAACTGCAGCATATGCTTGTCGTTCACGGCCACCTATAAATAAAATGTACCAGAAAAGGTATATACTCACTAAATATCGGCCCCTTACTATTTCTCTCAGAATTTGCAAGTCTTTAAGAACAACGAAGGATCAAATGTGTTGAGTTTAGATATCTACAACTTTAAATTGTTATTATAATTAATGTATAATCACCAACATTCACATCAGCTTATTCCCAGTGTAAGATACAGAGTAACGTCAGCAGAGAGGCCCTTTGCAGAACCATAACCTTTTAACAACAACCAATTTTCCCACATTGATATTTGACTCTGAATTTATCTTCTGTAGAGCAACATCTCTTAGATACAACCAAAACAGTAACCTCCCAAAGGATTTTGCTGTGCAGAGACTGTTCTGTACGAACTTATTCATGACGTAAAACTAGGTGTTTGACGGCAGACGTTATCCGATTAGGGGTGTCACGGTAAGTAAAAATGTTAAAATCAAACTACCAAAGGAACCTTCCTGAGAAGTTTGGATGAAATTGGCTTAGCGGTTTATGAGGAGATGTCGTTTAAAGTAAAAGTTAACAGATGGACGCCGAACGAAAAGCGATCACAAAAGCTCTGTCACCATGTCACTTTGTGACAGGTGAGCTAAAAATACAAACACAATGAAATATCTTATCATAATTAAACAAAAGTAATAATTAAAACTTATCTAAAATGCTTCATCTGAACCTCGGTTTCCGGTTTTTTAAATTTTTTGACCGATTCATTACTCAAATCCGACAGAAGCCGTTTAAACGGATAAATGCGTGGCACTCCTATATCAGATTGTGCCGGCTATTGATATTCAATCAAATGTTGAATATTCCAAAACATTTCAATAAAACAACGTCTCCGATAAGTAAAGTTACATTGAAAACTTAAAATGTGCAATTCTTTAAGGACCACAAAGATCAAATGCGTTTAGTGAAAATATCTTCAACCTATTATTTAAAAAAGTATCAGTTTTAAATTAGATTCAAAAACATTCACATCAGCTTATTTCCAGTGTCAGATACGGAGTAACCTCTGCAGAGATGCCCTCTGTAGTACTATAGGCTCTTAACAACAAACATGATCAAATTTTCCTTTTGACAGCAGATGTAATTATATTGATATTCAATCAAATGTTCCTAAACATTTCAATAAAACAACATCTCCAATAAGCAGAGCAACATGTAAAACTTTTACCTTAAAACAGCCTTGTTCAACCAAAATGATCATCTCGAAATGTTCACCAGTTTTAAACGGGAAATACCCAATCTGCCTCTCTTCCATACCCCACCCACCATCTTTATGGTTTCGTACAATGCAATTCCTATCATAGCCGTAAGAAAATCGTACATCAAAACAAAATGTGATTAATGAAGGTTGAAACTTGTCGCCATTCTGCAGGTAAACTGTGAACCTAAACAGATATATATATATATATATATAATGTCTTAATGACATGAAACTGTTTGTGTCCTTGCACGTGCGTGTGCGCGCGAGAGATAATATGTATGTGTTTCTACGAAAGATTTACGTAACAACTCAAATGCTCACTTCCGGAAGTGGTAAAAACTATAATGCTGAGATACTTAACTAGTGTATTAGAATATGTTGCTGGACTCTTTTTATGATATTTTACATTCTATGTATATTATTGTTTATGTGACTGATGCATCTAATAGGCCCAACATTTTCAAAAACTGTTCAATAATAATTTTATGCTTATCTTATACTAAAGTTATCATGCATATTTTATATACGACTGAATATAATCTTTTCGATGTCAATTTCAATAGAAGTTACAAAAATTATTAGTACAAACTCATACAAATTCGTTTCAGCTAGTTTCTTTGAATTATGTCGTTGAGGTCACAAGATTTGTCTAAGATATCTATTTTACGCTGACGTTGCGTTCTTAGAATGACGTCATTTTGCTGTTATAAATGAAGTTGTAAATTCATAATTATGCTACTGTAAGAAACACAGTGCGACATGAAAATATCAGTTTTCGTAATTTCTTTCCGAAATAAGATAATTACATGTCGTCACAAGCAAGAATATCAAGCTCTCGTGTTTACTGTATAGTGGAAATCCGGCAGAGCATCGTTACCGCCGTAAACAGTTACCCTCGAGCTAGATATTCATGTCTGTACCGACGCCCAATGTACCGGCCCCCGGTGTAAGATTAATATATTCTGTCGGAATGTACCGATTATACCCGAGCTTCTGCGGTATTATCACTTTATGTAACACTGATAAAATGTATTTTGCATACCTTGTCGCCTTTGGTCGTGGTACTCCGCAGATGAAGATTATATTATTTGGCTTGAGATGACCAGTTTTATGTATATATGGCATAACCTGTAAAGTGCAATATCATATCTATTTAAAATCGCAGACAAAATTGCAAAACCATCCGTAATACACCCACTACAAGCAATAAAATATGCAATAAAACTATTTCGACAAAAAAGAAAAACAGGCACATGCATCAACACTTTATTCAGATAGTGATATTGTGAGGACAATAAAAAAGAAAAAACATACAATCAAAGTAAACAAAACTAAACAAAACGATGAGGTATAAAAACAGCAAAAAATAACAGTTCAGCAAACAAAAATGATAATATTAAAAAAAATAAAAATGATTTAAGTGATAAGAAAATAATGAGTAGCAACCAGATAATGCTAGGACCAAGGAAAGTCAGACTAATAGGCAGGTTGTTAGACGGGAAAGCAAGCACATATCACAAGGTAAAAATTATTTGTCCAGCAGTCAAGAACGAAACTTGTTCTGTAAATATTTTGTTTTAATTATTATTATAACTTATTACTTACATAGGCATGTGACCGACGTCCTCTTTTGTTACATGAACTTACACGATGATTGTTGCCTGCCGCCTGTTCACCTGAGCATGCTTTTGGTTTCTAAGACAAAATGCCATACATATCCATAAAGTATATGTGTAAGTCAAAGATAAAGACTATAGGTTAAAAGTAATCAGACTTGCAAGAAATAAAAACGTAAGATATATTATAATTGGAATTTATAACACATGCCAACTGTTTTAAACGGACCCATTTTGCAACTATTTTTTTTGAACTGTTAATTATCGCTTTTGGTAATATCATATAAATATGACAATTTGAAACGGGGTAGCCAACACTATAGAGTCTGACCAGGCTTCCACATGTACAAGCTGGTCTGGCTCTATACTAGTGGCCAAGGCTAATCACTTTCGGTTAGAACAGGGTACGAGGGTTGTTCAAATATGAATGCAACTAGGCCAATATCTCGCTTTTATCCATGTTTTGCACGAACTATGTACATGTATCGCATAGATGGTTGTGTAAGTTCTCAATTGATACAAACTATGTGTTAATCAGTTCAGTCCATCTTTGACAATAGCTTGATTAATGCTTTTTACTCGTGTATACTAAAACTAAAATGGTTGGCAAAAGGTCTCCTTACACTGACCAAATACGGTCCTGTATCAAGAACCGCTGTAATTTTGGTATACAGGCGGAGCAATGAAATTTCTCCTTCATCTGCCACACGGTGATGTAAGAATTTTAAAAGTGGTTTGGATTCAGTAAAAAATACACCAAATGCAAGCCGTCCGAAAACTGCAACTTCGCAAAGAAATGGTTGAAAAGGGAAAGGATTTATTACTATTGATACAAGTTTTACAACTAGGTATATAGCAAAATGCGTTGGTATCTCTGTAGGAGCCGCTCATACAATCCTCAGAAGTGATTTAAAAATGAGGAGGGTAAGTGCCAGATGAAAACCCCACCTCCCTACAAAAGAGCAAAAACTTGCTCGAGTAAGAATCTCCAAACAATTGTTGAAACAGTTCCTTAAATACAGCAATCAATCTTTCGAAAATATCATCACTGGCGATGAGCGTGAGTTCACTTAAATAAACCCAAGCGAAAGATATATAACAAAATATAGGCAACCAAAGGAAGTCAAAGACGTTCGCATGTATCGACGAGCAGTGAACATCAGAAACCCCATCGATTATGTGTATGTATAAAGATCTATTACGCTGCCCGATCGTTCAAACTTAACGGGGGTCTTCAAATATGAAGGCAACTGGGTCAATTTTCAGAAGTGCTTAACAAACAACAAAATAGCCGAACCGAGATTTTTTCGCGTTTGATATTTTCTTCCAGCAAGGTGTTTTTTTGAGCGTCGGAAATAGGAAAAAGTCACAAGGGGCAAGATCTGGCGAATAAAGAGGGTGAGGAAGCTCGACAACCTTTTCCTGTTTAAAATATTCTCGTACAATAGCCGCTTTGTGTGAGGAAACATTGTCATGTAACAACCTGACACCACAGAGATCAGTTGCTGGTCGACGGCTTTTAAAATACTTCCTTTTATGAACGACATTGCCTTTGTAAAACTTGACATGTACAGATTTACCCTTTGATAAGGCAATTTGAATAGAAGGATCTTGATTGTTAAAGAAAATTACATACATAAACCTTTTGACACTCATGGTTCTTTTGCTACGCATCGTCTTATTATAAAAACATGCTTTATGTTCGTTAGGCATTTAATAATGTACTGAACTTATTTTAACAGTTCGAATAAAAATTGAAATAAAAGAGTTGAGAAAAAGCTGTTTAAGATAAAAATTATCGTAATGCACATTTTGAAATATTTTTAAAGAACCTAAATGATCACGCGATACAATGTACTACATTTTAGCTGTAAACACGATAACTTTTTATTACACTTAAACATTTAAGCTGTTGTGTTTGTATTATCGTCAAACAGATCATTTTAAAGCATATTTTCCTTGATTATATCTCATGTTAAGTTATGGTGAAACAAAAGCAAAATAACAAGGAAAAAACTTCTTAGACCTATCTTCATAACAAATGAGACACCTGGCTATGTTTAGTTTTTCTGATATACAGTAGCAAATTATTTTTGAATCATTTAAGCCAGTGCACACACTCGAAATAAGACAAGGTACGCCCCACTCAGGTTCTGCGTTGGGTTGCAATAATAGGTCACGGTCACATCATACATTTACACATTTAAAAAGGGTCTGAAATGTTCACTTAATTCATTATATTCATGCTCTCGATTGACAATCATTGTAGAAATACGTACACGTGACTGTTGTGGCACATGAGGTGGTTGGCTACGACGTCCAAGTTCGTTCAACACCGCTCCAGCAAACTGGACGGCCGCACCAGATAGCATTTTCAATCCTGAATGATTATCTGCGTTCATATCCTAAACAAACAAGATTTGAACTTGATACATTTCCTTTCGTGAATCGTTTTATAATTATCTAGAATGTTCCAAACAATACGATTATAGTATGTCATTGCGATAAAACAGTTATAGTATATGAAACTCGTTAGTTACGGGGATATAACACTGGCTGGGGCGACATCTCGGGATGTTTCTGCAAAAACGGCCTCGCCATATTTTAGCAGAAACACCCCTTGATGTCGCCCCAGCCAGTGTTATATCCCCGTAACTAACTCTTTTCAAACTTAAAAACTCGATAACATTGTTTCGTTTATTTAAAGAAGGAAATAATATAATTATTATTTAGATTTAGTTTTTAATCTTCAAAACCTCTGTGCTCTACTTTCTATTTCACTATATTTTCATCGTTTTTTAGATGTATTTTGCTCAATTCACGTTAAAAACGAAAGTACATAAATTGGAATTGATTGACTGTGTAAAGACAAGAAAATAAGCCGAAAAGCAAGTAAAATGAGTGAATGACGTATTTGGTATCTTGTCACAGTTTCCAAAAACAAAATATGAACAAGTACTCATTTGTTACACAGTTTCAAAAAAGAAAACAAGAAAACAAGTACTCATTTGATATAACCATCAAATATTTTTTGCTTAATTTGCTTGGTTGGAAAATGGTTTATTTCGTGAACAAGTATTTAATAATTATGGAAGTCAAAATGCATGTACTATTACTAGTACTTTCTCAAACTTTTAATATCTTTACGACACTTCACTTCATGTCCTGCGCTACTTTTGTCAGTTGTTGAATATCTAACAACATGCTCTTAATTCATTATAAAAACATTATCAAACACACCTTGGACAATGAGGAAGAATTTTTAAAAACATCTGGATTTTTAAGGCATAAAGTTTTGCAGTTTAAACTCGCACTAGGCCTTATACACTTCTTAATTTAGCCGACATATGCATTAATGCATGTCTACCAACTTGATAGCAGAAGAGTACTTTAGTCATTAAAACAACATCGCCAACATATTAAAATTGAATTAAGTAGAAACTTACATTTCTCCGTTGGTCTCCACTGAACATCTTTTATGCCGACAAATTACGATAAAATTGAAAAATGAAAAAAGGGCGAATGATCTTTGAAATATGTTGATTAGATAACACTATTTACTACATGAATTAAAAATAATGAACTTTACTAACTTCAAAATATTTCAAGGAAATAAAAGTCTGTATTATTTGATATTTTCTTCCGCGATAAAAATAAAATTCAAATTATTTTGTCCTGGTTTTATCACTTAAAGGGACTCCACTGAGGTTTTTTGATATGATGGGGACTGAACATAATTTAGGTTTATACCATTAATCAGTGTGCAGAATTGCAGATCATTCGCGCACTTCGTTTTTCCATAATAATAATATAAAATGAAAAAAGTGACCCAAAATGAAAAACTTTTACACGCTTTTAACTCTAATCGGACTACGAAAAGTATAAAATTCGATTTTCAAATTATTTCCAGGTATATTTCTTAACTATTTTTGCATGTTTTTCGGGTTAAAGTGGCCTAGCTCATCTATGTAGGAACAATTTTTTTATGTTTTTAGGTTTTTTACCTCAGTGAAGTCCCTTTAACGTAGCGTGACGAAACTTGATATCTTCAATCACATATTTCGTGAATCAGATATGTGGGTGGGGTGGTTTTGTGACTTAAGTGTTTGATTCATCGGTTGATAGTTTATTTCCTTAAATACAAATATGCAACTATAATGATGTTTAAATTATACAAAACGTATAACTATTTCCGGTATTTGTCTGAATTTCTGAGTCCATCTCATTAAAAAATATCTTACACCTTTAGTTAGATAGTCCGTTGGCATATTATATGGCTACGTGTATATAACCAGAGTAGCAATGCATCCATGTTATATAACTAGCAATCATTGATACACGGTCATATAACCTATCAATAGGAAACTTTATAAAAGAATTAATTCAATTCACTTATTTTCATGTCTGTTTGATTGATTGTTTGTTTTTCTATTTGTTTTTTTTTTCTTGTTTTTTTTTGTTTACAGATCAATTTACGAATGTAAGATCTAACGGAATTTTATTTCGTTTTCTTAATACTACTTATACTTTTTAAAAAAAACAGACAAACCACAAATTATAGATCCCATGAAAATGTACATTTTAAATTAAAAAAAAAAAAACAAAAACAAAATAACAAACAAACAAAACAAAATAAATTTCCTGCACGTGAAATTTAAAATACTGAATTGAGATAAAAAAGCATAAAAACATGAGCAATTTCGGGTCATTATTCACAATTAGAATAAATATTCTGGAAAAACCCGGAGTAAACAAATAATCTGAACACTTGATTTTGTTATATAGGTTAATGGTCTAGACAAACATCAATTAATGAAACTCTCTACACATTATTTTTGTCACGTCATGTCAAAATACATTAAGGGAACCCCTTTAAGTGAATTGACAGTAATATCTTCATATTGATATAGAATGGTTTAGTCAGTTTTGTTTGTCCTAAATAAATGTAAACTATCCGTTAAATGTTTCTCATTTTAATACATTTGGACAATAATCAAAGAACGTGTATTCATTTGAGAAAATGCAGCTCTAAGTTCAAAACAGAGTACGGTTATCTCCCTTTACTTTGCACAATAAAAAATGATATTGAAAAAAAATCGAATTTTAGGCACCTAAAATAATGAACATAAAGCGATTTAAAAAGTCTAATGTACAGTTTAATTGACACTGGCACATACATTATCTGATCATTTTTTTTTTCAAATGAAGAGTAAGTATTTCAGCAAGGACTATCAGCATCCAAGGATGCCGCAGAAAAAAATCGAAATTTTGGTGTACAAAGAAATTTGAATAAAATCAAGAAAACAAAGCATTGAAAATTTTCAAGAAACAAATTTGTAGTGTACACATACGTGTTATGTACCTTTCAAACTATTTTGTTTGTTTGTGTGTGTGTGTGTGTGTGTGTGTGTGTGCGTGTGCGCGCGCGCCCGCGTGTGTGTATACCCGCCACCGGTTGACCATATGGGCGTGTGTGCGTGCGTGCGTGTGTGTGTGTGTTTATATATACTCGCCACCTGTTGTCCATATGGGCGAGTCCTCTAGAAGAGTCATTTTATATTTTGAAGTATAGTGTAAGATACAGATACAGAAAGATGCATTTCTTGTTTACGGACAGGCTATAGAAACACTTCATCCAAACATTTCGTACAACATTTTATTTAATTTCATCAACACAGTTAAAACTAGGATTTCATAGAAATATACGTTGTTTTGCAATTCTTGTTAGAAATTGGATTACAGTGTAATGGCATTTTCCGGAATTAAATGCTTATCTTTCAGACATTGTCAAGACAATTTCATTTTTTTAATATCAATACCTAGTATTGTAATCACGTAAAAATGTCTATCATGTAAATCAACGGATTTTGTGTGAATTACTGAACGCTTAAAAAGGAATTTATGTGTGTTATATATATAAAGGAATAGCTTCAAAATGGTATGAACATTTATGAAATCTATAAAGTATTTATGGTGATATTTATACAGAACTTTTTAGTATACATTTAATAAATAGGTGTAAAAAGCGCATGATTCACGTGATAATACTGAACACATCGCACATGGACAGTATTGCCAAAAAATCGTCACGCTTGGTTAGGTATAACAGTTATGACCATTATAGGATAGATATAACGGGAACTAACGGTTATCACGTACTCTGCTTGATCGCTTGTGACTTTTGATCATATAAATTATGAATGTTAAAGGCGGAACACCAAAACGAAAAAAAGAATCCACCACTAGCTGTAGCGACTTAGACTCTAGTCTATAACGAACTCATTTAGCTCATTAAATGAAACAACAGAAGAAACAGACCCAATAAATAAAAGTTTAGGAAAAGACCTTCAAAAAAAAACACAACCCCGATAACTCAAAGTCTCATCAAAGAAAACAAAAAAGTAAAAAACAAAAAACCGCGGCATCACCTGAATTGATAGAAACGAACGTGGAGATGAAACTAGAACAAAAACTAGACAAAATCGATGAAAAACTCAACAACGTTTTAACAAAAGATGACAGGTCATTCATCAGAGACATAATAAAAGACACATTTGAAGAAATGAAGGAACAATTATTAGGATCAGTCATCAAACGATTAGAAATTTTAGAAGATGAAATTTATAACAAATCAGCCTCCACTTCAAAACTTAATTCAGAGATAAGCGAAAACAAACATGTTATAGAAACAAGAATAGAAAAATCAGAAGAAAAGATGAACACTGAATTAAAAATATTAAAATTAGAAAACGAAAAATTAAAAGAAAATGCAAATGATCAAGAACAATACAGTCGAAGGAATAACCTTCGTATCACGGGAATAAAAGAAGATTCTCCCCAACAGTCTTCATTACAGACAAAAATACAATTCCAGAAAATGTGCAAAGACAATCTCGGATTGGTTGTTCTCGATGAAGAAATCGACATTGCACATAGAATTGGTCAGTTCAAGACAGGCAGCAACCGTCCAATAATTGTAAAATTCGTAAGAAGGCAAACGAAAATTAATATCATGAAAAATGCAAAGTCACTTAAAGGAACCAGAATATATTTGAATGAAGATCTTACACACTCCAATCAGCAAGCTTTAATGTCATTACGTTTAAAAGATCCCAAACGAATCGAAAAAGCATGGTCTTTCGAAGGCAAATTATTTGCCATATTTAAGTCAACGAACCCCTTAACCAGATAACACAACAACACGGCTGATCAAATTCTCAGAATATGACCAATGGCTTTCGCTCCCGTGGCCGGCTCGTGAGATTGGAGGAAATTCTTCCGAAAAATCTACAACGAATGTTTGGAACAGAAAATAAAACATAACACGTTGAAAACAAACAAACATATAAATACCAACAAATCAAATGAAGACTCTTAAGTGAAAAAGGTAAATACATGTACATCATGAGAAAAGAGAAATGTTTAACAAAAGACGCATAAAACTATTGTTATTGAACATTAAACTTTGTTGAGTTAGCTTCTTTAAATTAACGTTTTATAGTTTAAGTAACTTTCTCGTATCACTCCTGTTTTTTTGTTTGTTTTTTTTAATCCCAATTATAACATAGAAAGTTATACACGAATTTTGACACAAATATGTTATTTTCCTTTTCTGACACATTGTACATTCGTTTAGATATTTGTATAAAAACAATTTTAAATTTACAATGAAAAATAAATGAAATTACGCTGTTACCCCACAGATTATTTATAGACAGCTTTTCGTTTTCGACGCACATGATATTGACTGTAATATCACATTATGAATACTAGAATATACATACATAAATTATATTAACATTGTTCAATCTTAAATAACATAATAACATTTGATTGTTTTTATTTTTATTTTTTTTCTCATTATTTCTGACCAAAGAAGGTTTATTAGTATGGGGTAATAAGCCATTTATACAAGATATTCCTTTGTGCTGTTTCTCTTCTCCCTTTCATGTTTTTCGATAGAAGAGAAACATATTACAAGGGTATAGACAATACGAATGTCAAATTGAATAAAAATATAGTTGCCTTGCGGTTAAGTTTATTAGATTTAATAGTGTGAATGTCAAAATAAATGTAATATGTTTTGTTGCGATTTAATTTATTACATTTGATAGTTTGAATGTCAAAATGTAGGTACAATTTTTCTGTTGGGTTTGAATTTATTACATTTTATAGTATGAATGTCAAAATGTTGCGATTAAATGTATTACATTTGATATTAGGAGTGACAAAATAAATATAATATGTTTTGTTGTAGTTAATTTTTTTTTTTTTACATTTGAGAGTATGAATGTCAAAATAAATGTCAAGTTTTTGTTTTCGGTAAAAGTTACACCATTAAATAGTATAAATGAACGTCAAAACGAATATAGTATACTTTGCTTGTGGTTAATTTATTTAAAAGTATAAATGAACGTCAAAACGAATATAATATACTTTGTTTGCGGTTAATTTATTTAGATTATGGTACTATGATTGTCAAAATTTCAAATTGTCAAAATAAATACACTATATTTAGCTTGTAGTTGAACGTATTAAGACTGATAGTATAAAGGTAAAAATTAATGTAATATATTCTGCTTGCTGTATTTATGTTAAAATGAATGTGATATATTTTGTTTTCAGTTAAATC